AATTCCTCCACTTCCTTTCAGAAATAAACAGAGAAATAAAAGGATATTAAAGGTTGTCCTTTATAATGCTGTTAAACCCGATGTTCTATCCCTTCAAACAGCAAACAGCAGMATCTTTCCTGTTCCCTCATTTATAATGAGGAATAGCTGAAGGGAGCCACAGTTGGATTCATTATTTTTTCCAGGAATAAGCATCAGGCTGAATACTAGGAGYTACACTATGGCATTATATATTAGGGACTGCTTCCAGTGATGGCTGAAAAATGACAATTATTTCTTATCTCCTCAAACTTGAAGGAGGCAATATAGCCTCAAGCGAAAACAGCCGCAGCCACATGGTTTGTRGAGCTGCTTTTGTAGAATCAAATACTGCCAGAGCAAATTTGATACTTYTCAGACCTCTGAGCTTACATTTTTAGTTGGCCAAGTATATTTTTAAGTTTAGTAGAGTTTTTTTTTTTTTCCATAGGCAGAAATATATTTAATTCCTCAGAGCTGCAGGCCTTGGCTCAGTAAAATTCCTGTTGACCTCAAAAATCCTGTAGGATTTGACCATCTGGAAACTGCTCTGCAACATATCAGGCTTTTGATTTACTTGATACAAATGTCTGGTCTGTCTCATGCACTTGTGAGCAGCTTCATGTTTCTCACTAAGGCATTCAGCCCCTGTGGATATGGATTTTAGAAATGCTGGTGCCACGTGCTCCAGAGCTCAGCTCTCAGCCACTACATTTACAGCCAATTGCAAAGGTTCCTGCATGATCTGAAGATGGCTGAAATTTATCCAGCAAACACAAGACTGTGATTCTGCAAATTCCACCACCTTGCTACGTCATCCCCAGAGTTTCACAGAACTCTCTTCTGGCATGAGAGTTTCTTTGGAATCTTCACATTTAATTTTTGATATGTCCAAAACCACCTCAATTGTKACAAAGCCAAACATCTTGTGACTGAGCCCGATTTGGATTATGCAGAAAAAAAACCCAACTAAGTTTTTTTGTCATTTGAAACATTGAGAGACTCAGAATTGAGGAATTCTTTCTGAGCAGATTTGCAGAATTAGGTACCAGGTCATTAACTGGAATATTGATGAGACCAACCATTAACCTGGGGAGGAAACCCACAAATGCTCAGTGCTGCCTTTCCTCCCTCCTCTCTTCCTGCCATTAAATCTTCCTTGAATGCGCTGCCAAGGGTGAGTTCCTCACCTGATCCTGGTGCTGCTGATGCCCCGTGTGAAAAGCAGTCAGGAGAAAGGGTGTCAGGAGCAGAGCACCCCACATCAGTGCTCTGCAGAGGTTCAGGCTGGGGAAGGCATTTTTGTGTCCCTCTGGTCTGAGGAGGGTGGGAAAGTTCAGATTTCTGTGCGTTCTGAAAGCGCTGTGATATTGTTGCTCTGAAAAAGCATAATTTCTTCCACAGCTTTATGGTTTTAAGTTTACTGCTCCAAGTTTGCTTTGAAGTCTAAATGATTTCATTTTCCTAGAAATTATTCAATCTATTTTTTGCATAAAGCTCTTAATCCTCAACCAATCTGGAAATGCGCAAGAACTTCAAAACACACTCCTTGGTGATTTAGCCTCGTATGTCTTCATTCTTCATCAGCCTGTTAGCAATCCTCCTCTCGTCTGTTGACTTCCTTCTCTCTGTGCTGTAAGCTTTTGCCACTGAGAGCCTCTCACAGTAATCAGTAAGTTTCATAAACTGCAATTGTGCCAGATAATTAAATAAGAACTCTATTTCAAATCAATTTAAATCCATATGACTTTCAGAAATGACAGTTGCTACAGTGTAAACCCAGTGAATAAAACCCTTTCGAATACTTAAATCAATTGCAAATTTGTTTCATCTTAATCTTCAGAAAGCRATTCCTGCGAATGTCAATAGTCCCTAATAGATTGGGTGATGATATCTGTGTATATGTGAGCTCCAGAGCTGCACTTGGATCAGGTCAATTAAAGGACTGTAACTGCTGCTTTTACACACACCACAGCTAAAGCAGGTGCTTTAGCTAAGGCAATATTCACAGCACTGCTTAGGTATTGCTGTGGACATAACTGGATTTCTCCTCTTCATGGTGAATGGTAGAGGCACAGCAGCTACTACAGGTTTATCAGCTATATCATGTTGTAAGGCTGTATGGAATGGATATTTTTGTATGGCTGGGGAGATGTTTTTGATGTTTTTTTTTTTTTTAAATTGTTTTCTCCGTGATCAGGGCCTGATTTAAAATGAAAGATCCTGTGCTGCACAAATTCCAAGGCAGTAGTAATCCTTTTCCCTTAATCAAAGTCAGTGAGTGGAAATAAATAATGCAAGTTCCAGAGGAAATCCCTGGCAGAACACAAACTATCTCTGAGTGCCATCTGAGTAGCCCCGTGCAGTGAAGCACCTTCAGTAGACTAAAGTGCTTTTTATCTTCTGAACATCTGAGAGTCTGCTGCTATCAGTTTATGAACACCAAATATATGTTTCAGTTCCCACATCCACAATAATGCTTGCATTGAAATAAGAGCTAACATATGTTTCTGAATCACATTTGTTTAACCACCTCTAGTAATCTGCAATCCTGAATACAAAAGCCACTATCACAAAATTATCCCTCTCTGTATRTGTCTGGTGATGAGAGTCATCTTACCCATCCCAAAAGGTTTTGTGTTAATAATGAAGAAAATGCAGGAATTAGCAGGGGCCACTGCTGGATGTAGCYAAAGACTTGCCTGGCTTCAAGGGCTGGGATGACTTGCAGTTATTGAATAATTGCAATAAAAATTACTAAAATTAGTAGAAAATASAGAGTATTTGTACCTTGTTCAAAACCTGCAGCTGGCAGACACAGTTAATTAGTCTGGAGTTTACATGCAAAGCACCAGTAATGCCCTGCCTGAAGCGATTAGCTGGGCCTGTAATATGCTTTTAGTGGGACTCACATTTCTTCAATCTAAATTTCCATTTCCAGATGATATCATAATGTGCCCATGTTTTTAGTGAGAATGGAAAATGTCACAAATTGCATTGCTTCCCAGGTGAAATTATCATTATAGGAGGCATTTGAACCACAGCTGTCTAAAGGCTTGTTCAGAATGTTGGGTGGGCTCAGCATCTCCCCCAGCTCAAATTGCTGCTGCTGGATTAGCAGGCAGTGCTGCGGGACTTTATTAGAAAAATGACAAAGAATCACTGATGGTGCAAAAGTATCCAGATAAATGAATCCAAGCATGTCTAACTCAGGTTGTAGTGGCAAAAAAAAACCAGTTGTCGAAAAGCAGGGGAATGTAAGAAAGCAATGAAAGGTAATTTAGTTGTGTTGTGGTATCTTTAATACAAAAGGAGACATACAGAAATGAAAAGAAATGGAGCAGTTGTCTCTCAAAGGCTATCAAAACCCTCTAGGTTAAAAAATCAGCCAGGAAAAAATGCTAAGTGCATTGATATTTACTAAAGAGGATCTACAAATACATTGGGTGAAATAGAGAACAATGAAATTAGTCAGGGTCTCAATTAATCAGGCAGYAAATGCAGGGGAGGAGGAATCCTAAGACCCTCTTCTGTCTTTGCAAAAAGGTTAACAATGACCAGATACTTATGAGTCTAATGAGGCCATAAGAAACAGCCAAAATGGATTTAGCAGGAACTAATAGTATCAAACTGATTCGATTTTGCTCTTTGATGGAAAGCTCAGGCTCCAAGGAGCAGCAGTCAATGTGCTGTGCTGGAAATTTGGATAAGGCTTAGAATGCTRTTCACTGACGTGTTCATGAGCCATTGATGGAAATACAGGCAGGAGAAAATGCTCTTAAGGTGTAGTGGAACAGTCAATTTGCAGAACTGTAATTGAACATCAATTGCCTATAGATCTTTYAAGCTTCTGGAAGGGTCTTTTCATTTTCATATATTTCTTTTCCTTTTTCCTCTTCTCTTTTCCTTTTGCCACAGAATTAAGCAAGATTAAATAATTGTGGTTCAAAATTGCTTTATTTATGTTTATTTTCTTTGCCTGTAAGTAAATTTTTCCTGAGGTTTGACATGCTCATTACAGTGACTAAAAAGGTACGAAATTTTATGTTCAATATCAAGKGAGAGAATAAGAAAACCAGGGTTTCCCTACACAGGTTTATGAGATCTTAGGGTTGTGGGTTTTGTTAAATTTGTTACTCTCTGGCTAAATAATACAATGTAAAGAATTTAGTTTATTTTTTCCTGCAGAGTTGTAATAAACAGATTAGAGGAGGCCAGATCAGTGGGTAAAGCAAGTTGACATTGATTTGTTGCTTCAACAGAATGGGCTGAAGGGAAGTTGGTGCTCAGCTCAAAGTAGCAGGAGGGCTCCTGCTAATCTACGTGTCACTCAGGAAAAAACATTCTGATGCAGAAGTTTTCCCATTATGTGATTTGTGTTAGTATTCCTGTCAACACACATAACTGCTGGATAACAAAGATTAACATGCCCATGGCCACAAATAAGCTTTACATTTTTTTTTACTTTTTGAGCTTCTTATATCYGTGATTAATAATTTGTCAGAAGGCTCGGATTCTAGACTCAGAATGCTAAATACGTTTGTAATTAGAGCTCTGCAAARTAACATTGTACACAGAATAGCCAATGAGCTCTAAGATATGCTGTAAAATACAAAGACCCTCTGAAGGAGGAGGGAACAAAGTATGTAGGACAGAGGGAAAAGGAAATGTCTGGGCCCAGAGATTAAGTTTTGAGTGAAAATAATAAATTCTCTAAATAAATTGTAGTTTCTGTTGAAAATGATAATTTAGGAATAATTAAAAACTACTGAGAGAACCAATATCAGCATCCACTGATAKTCAGTAGTTCTGTAAATCAGTATTTTTCAAAATTTTTATTTATCTAGCSGTTGTAAATATTTCCAGGAAAAGAAAAAAGCCAACCACTCAACAGGGCCAGTGTGAAAGCAACAGTTTTCATTTATAACTGAAAAGTGTGTCAGTTTTGGATAATCACTCTTGTTTTTATTTTTCTGTTTCAGGGAGGAGTTTATGTCTCAGTTGCTTCACAGCCCCCATCTGATCTATTAAAGCTCCCACGACCATGGGACAGGACAAACTCTGCTGATACGTTGATGCATGAACGTCTGCATCAGGTTCTTCTCTAATTCAGATGTGAACTCTCAGCTGGGTCCTAAGAAAAACCCCAAAGCTATAATATCAAAATAGAACCGATAACCAATATGAAGGAGTCTTTGGGACTTGGCTGAATAAAGATTTCAGCTACTCCTGGCTCTATAGCTTTCCCCCTTTTATCCTGCTGGTGAGGTRCTCAGTGAATTTTTCACTTGGTTTATTTTCAAATTAAAGAAACCATGGCTGGTGTCTTGGTCAGGTCTTTTCTTCCCTGAACAGTTTTCTGGACACCCTTGGCTGCAGAAAAGATGGGTGCTGGTTCAGACCCATGCAGGGAATATCTTTTGCTTGGGTTTCTGGAGAGAGCTAAGGCACGTTTTCCCCTGTTTTTTGCWGAAGTTCCTGCAGTGCTGATTATTCTCCCAGCGACTGGGGAGCAGCTGTGATGTGCCAGCACACTGTGAATTTCCAAGAGAGTGTGGAGAGCCCTTCCTCCTGCTGAGAGCCTCTGTAAAAATAACCTGACCTGCAGGGATTTACCCAGCAGGCCTTGGGGAAATGAGCAGAGTCGCCAATTATTGCCGTGAGGATGTCAAGTCTGTGATTGTACATCGGCGTAGTTGCTATTGCTGCAATCAAGGCAAGACAGAAGGAAAATTAGGAGGAAAAAACCCTTTCCATCTACTTCAGCCTCACTGCCCACATTAGAAAAACAAAAACAAACCAACAAAACCCAGTTAAAGTTATCCTGGCATTCTCACATAACTTAAATGCTGATAYTTCTTTCAAAGGTTTGATCCTTGTGTAGAGTGGAAGAAACAAAAATATTCTACTGTTTCTACAGCTCAAGTTGTCTCATTCTACTTTCCATACACCTTTATAAGAGCTAAAATTGATTTTATATGTGTGGTGTATTAGAGGAGTATTTAATATGCAGTATTGCACAAAGATATAAACTCTTTTCTGTGAACTTTAATAATACTCTTCACATTAATATTTTCATATGCATGCACTGGTAATTCATCTGTCTGATGCAGAGTACAGAACTTGTGCAATATCAACATGATTGAATGCTGCCTTTACCAGTAAATGCAGAGATTAGGAAGTTACTGGAAAGAAGTCATGGAAAGTTTAGAGACTGACTTCCAACAGGCTTTGGAAATGGAAGTTTTTAATAGGTCATTCTGTGTTTAAAAGGAAACACTTTTGCACAAATTTTTGTGCAGGCACAGATGCTTAAGGATGTGCCCTGGGTTGTCTGAGAAATGTCTGCCTGTCTAYGTAGCGAAGAAAGGTATTTTATGAGTGCTTGGAGTTCTAAGATTTAAAAAATATTTTTCACAACCCCTGATACAGACTACAGTACAATGCATAAATAAAACAGCTCTAGTTTAGAGTGCTCACCAATGTTTAGTTTTCATTTCTCTGGAGGATTTTTCATGAATGTCTGTGGGTCTACAATTCTTGAAACTGTTGCCTACTGGCATGTTATCATTTATTTATCTTAAATCAAATGTGCCAAATGAAGACCCAGTGGCATTGCAGCTGCCTACTGAGCAAAAATGAGGAATTATTAGGGAAAGAATAGAAAATAAACAAATTTTATATCTCTGTATAAATACATTTTTCATCAACACTGTTAGTGCCTTGTACTTTTCTGGTGTCACTCCCATCTCTGAAGGTGTATGCTGGAATTTAAAAACTTTAAAGAAAGGAAATAAAGACGATTAAATTTCTTGTGCATATGAAATTGCTAAGTGTTCAGGGATTTTTTGTTGTAAAGGAGACAAGTTAGAGGGAGAATTTAAATATATTTATATTTAGTATATAAGTTTTTAATTAGTCCATAAACACAAATATATTTAATAGAACATTTGAAATTCCTAATTTTCTTGTCTTTATTGCAACTTGTTATATTTTCTTTATGAAAGAATATTTTTAAGGGAAAGATATCTAACTGTGATCTATCTTGATGACTTTGTGTGGTGTAGATTCCTCTTTAGCAGAAGTCAATGTAAAATCCAGTCAGATTAGAGATGGGAATATATAAAAATACTTTAATGTGATAAAAACTCATTTAAAATATGGGATTAAATCCTGTTAATTACAGTCAGGCAACATCAGTACTTGCTTCAAGGGGACTGCTCATTTGAATAAGAACATTATCCATAATCAGCAAGTCCTTTCAAAGCTTGGATCAATGCCAGGCTAAAAGTTCTCCATTCTTATCTCTTGGAGCCAAAGGAAGAAATGAAAAGAGAGGAAAGAATTACAATAGATGTTCTTATCCACTGGTTTAATCAAGCAAGCACTTTCACTCCATTTCGTTTGAAAAGAGAAGAAAAACCTCACTTTTTGAGTTTCCTGACCTTGTAAGTTAGACAGGCTRGCCTGTTGTATGACAGGCTGGAAAGATAACCTTCTCCTTTCCTTTCCTGAGGTAAAGGATATGTTCTGCAAAGGGAAAAGGAGAGAGAGAATCAGGGGTGTGTTTAATTTAAGGAAGAGGGCAAACTGGTGAGAAGTGCACTGWGTGATGTGAGAAAGGAGGAAATCTTCTGTTTCTGCATTTTACTGTTCCTGGCATTATATGGAAGGGTGTTGGTAGTGGCCATGAGAGAACGCTGTGATCACTCAAATGAGGTGGTACAAAAACTTTTTTATCCAGGCAGAGCACATGCAAATGGGAGGAGAAGCAGAATTTCCAGTCTTTTATGATCCTTTACCAATCTTCCTCGACTTCGTAAGAGTTTTACCTTTTGCATAGTGAAAAATTAAATGTGAAAAAGCAATTAAATGAGATTTATAAATTTAATATGCTGGATAAATACGTATATATGTATGTGTGTGTGTGTTTAAGAGAAAATTAATGTTCCCTGCAGGCTGTGTAGAGGYGCTGCTGGTGGCAGGGGAGCTGAAGCACCTTGAGGTGCATTCATACACATCCCCACACTCCCACTTTCTAAACCTGTACTGTCTGGTTATTTGGGAGAGAATACTTTATAGAGAATTGTGAGGAAATAAAATTCAAATAAATCCTTTTTYTCTTTGTCCTTTAAGCCACACAGAAATATCAAACTCCATTTTGACCTTATCTATCTATGTTCRTTTTGTTTTACTCTTCTGTGTAATTGAGGTGATAACCTCAGCCCTAAATACCCCATGCATTTCCATCTTTTCAATTTCCTCTCCCTTTCTCCATACCTCAGTTACTGAAGGGTTTTGTGGCAGAGAGTAATTTTAATTCCACTGTGCTTTGAATTACCTCAGAGCTCAAATAGCTGGGCAGGCTATTTTACAGTATTTTCCTTGCTGCAAATAARTGCTGCACATGCAGGAAGGCTCCCTGCATGATTCAACATTACAGAAATAAAAATGTTTAGATCACAAAGTGGCTTGCAAGGATTTAGTGAGCTAGTTGGCAGTTTTGTTCCTTGGAAGCACAAGTAAAGGGGCAAGAAGGGAAATCTGTACCAAGTGAGAGGATGGCAGAAGTATTGGAAAGAAAACAAGACTTGGAACCTCGCCACTGTTGATACAACAGAGAAAAAAATAGTGGCTGAAAACTCTGCTTATCTACCAAAATATTTGCTTCAAATATTACCTAGAGAAACAAGTAACACCTACAGGTGTTCCCACCTACAGCTGATTCAAATCAAGTAGGTACAATTTTTACTATTTTGTGCTAAAACTTTCCTCCCTGACCTAGTACCAAAATAATTTCTCCTAACAAATTCATCACTTTCAAGMCTGAGTCTGCTGAAATCATTGAGTYTGTCTTTTATTATATTACAGGTTAAATACCTCTGGTATCAGTGTTACGACATCTACCTACTTCATTGGTYCCCTTTCCAAAACACCTGAACAGAAAATAAGGCCAAAATAGACATACAATTGTAGAGGARATTTGAAGATTATCACAACAAATCAGTTTGCTGGAAAGTGACTTTCCTGTCTTTACTTATATCCATTTTTAAATGGCAGCAAAAATACAGATATCAGTTGATTTTATTTGTTTCACACAAGAATGATTTGGTTTATTTTTACCATGTCATAATTGATTCATGTTGCTCTGGTCTGTATTTAGGAGAACAGGACTGGGTGGCATTTGATTCTTTTGTTGAATTGGCAGCATTGCTTCTCATCTGAGAACACCTTGAAATGGAACCCAGTTTGCAGCTTGACCACTAAGCCTGAAGCAATGAGGTTAGAATTATATTTACAGAATTAAAACAGATGAGGAGAAACAARTAATTATTATTTTATGGTGTTTTCTTGACTCCCAGTCCTACATCTKACATTGTTTTATAAATTTCTGTGAAATTCTTATCCCAGAAGGCTTTCAAAAGCACTGCATACAGCTAATATTGGACTTTCAAGTTGTTTTCAGGTAATCCAGTCCTCTCCACCCATAACCTAATGGGAAAGGGGAAAGAGCAAAGCAAAACCAATGCACGTGTATTATTTCTGTCTCTCAAAACAAGTTTTAGAAGTTGACTTGTGAAAATCTATAACCTTTTCTCTCTCTTTTAAATGCTACTTCTTGCAGACTAAGTTAATTCGGGYTTTTTGGCCTGAAAGGTTCTTTCCATGGCTGAATGAAAAAGCAGTTTTGGAGAAATTGGATATAAGTCATTGTTTCACAGAAGGGTAATGCTTCTCTCCTTTCCCCTCGCTGGTTCTGAGGTTTAGGTCCTGTTCTTTTTCTTTTCCTTACAAAGTCTCTGAAGGGTTTTACAAAGTCTCTGAAGGGTTTTCAATGACTTTGAGGTCAAAACTTTGGTTAATGCTGGGAAAAGCATGGAAATGTGTTGCTGCAAATGTTATTGGGTAAACACGTGGTCTCCCTGTTACTATTTATTGACAGCTGGTGTGGCAGTGTTTTTTATTCATATTTCCTAGAAAATCCTGTTTGAAACATTTTTTATTCAGTTGCTTGAGAGTGTTTCAAGCTTACTGCTTGGATGTTTTCTGCCCTCTGTCCTTGGAGCCATTCCATTTTGAGCATCTCCTACCTCTCACRCTGTTTAAAAGACAGATGATGAAATTTCCTGGAATTTTTTCAGTTCAGCTACTTCAGCTGGTGGCATTCAAAGTCACGGGCTTTTATTTTCTTTTTGGATTCCTAGAAACTGACTCAGATTTTTGTGAATGAATCCATTACTCATGACTGCCTTGGAGATATCAGTCCTTGCTGTATGAAATTTAATAGAGATAGAGCTTGGTATTTCCAGCTCAGTTTATACAATTAAAGTATTTAGCACTCTTCTGTTCTTATTTCATGGCCAACAGTTTACAAGCTGAAGTCATCCCTTTCTATGTTGTTGGACATCCTACAGAGAAAAAGGGATGTTTTAGAAAGAAAGCCATTACAGTTGARCAGGCTGTAGAAAATCAGTGTCCTAAACTCTTCTGTGAGTGGGGAGATAAACTGGAGCTGTTCCCTGAATTGTTAATGCCATTAACTCTGGTTTCATCTTCACCAAGTGGATGAGCATGTCATAGATGAGCAGGTCTGTCTTTGTGGGACACACACCACCTCATAAATTACTGCTTCTTTAACACATGCAAAAGCAAAACCAAGACTTGATGGGAGGAGCAGATGAGGAGGAGAATGGCAGAACATTTGCTCAGTTTTATTTAGTTCAAAAAGGGAACACCCTCACAGAATTGATGGAGCAGCTGATACCAGACCTAAAACTTTATGTCTTTTTTTACAGAGAAAACCTGAGATAATTGGCACATCCTAATGACAGACCAGATCAGCCAGGTCAGAATCAATGTGAGTTTAGTCATCTTATCACAATTATTTAAAAATTTCTTTTTTTGCTTGGCTGAAACTTAGAGGAAAGAGCACCTTTTCTGAAATCTTCCATTTGCTTATTCAAGTTATGTGCACTTGCACAAGCTTTTGGGCTCCTAATTGGTACAGTGTTGATTTGAGAAGTTTCCTGTATTTCACATAAAATTTTTATTTTCAATTACTTATTTAAAACACTTTCAGGATCATTTTATGAGATCACCAAATGTCTGGACTCCAGAAGGTTTATAAATCTCTGTGAGGCTCTCAGTCTTTTCAGAGGTATAATTGCAGATGAGCCCATCTGTTCCCATTTCATTTTCATCTTCCATGTTTATCTGCCTCTTTTATAYTTGGCACTATATGGACAGCAGAGGGGTTCAGCAACTGGTGTAAAGGTGGTAGTGCTTGGTATTGCCAAGTTTGAAGAGAAATACATCAAATTTTGAAATTTGAAAAATAAATTGTAATAAATAAGTGAAAAACTTCAAAGTCAAGGTTTGTGGACAAAAATTATGAAACCCTAGAAATCCAATAGAAATCACAAAGATAAATTAATATATAATTTATTTAAAGGTTAATATGTGGGGTTTTGTTTTTTTTCAAGTGAGCTAAATTATGGATCACTGCTGGACCTAAATGTCCAAAACACAATAAGGGGAGCCAAGGAATTTATACAAATATACATTTCTTTATTTCAGCCTAGGATGCCACTCACATCACTCATATTATCTCTCTCAAAAGGTTTTATTCAGACTACCCTGATGAAGCAGATTTGTTATACAGGGCATAGCCCATAAATTTCCTCACTTTGTACATACATCCACATTTATATATAGTTGGCACAGGTTATATGTGAAACCAGCAAATATCTTGTGACCTTTCCGTTTTGATAACTGAATTACTCATGAATGGCAGAACCTTTAGCACATTATTAACCATCCAATAAAATGTGTCTTCCTCGTGTGACACATAMTATGTTTTTTGGGGGGTGGGGCACCTTTCTAACTTTGCAGTCTTCAATATTTCCGTAAAATAT